ATATATATATATACATATATATATGTACATATATATATGTATATATATATATATTATATATGTATATGTATATATATATATGTATATATATATATATATATATATATATATATGTATACATATGTATTTATATGAGTATTGCTATGGCTCGAATGCCACCCAATCCTATTTCTTATATGAGTATTTGACCAGTAAATCCAATGATATATAGATCTATTCGAAATGAATGATTTTAATATTTAATGTTCTAAATTTAAATTTATCATATTTATATAATAGGACATTAGAAACAATTATCTTCCACTGAAACTCTGTTCAATTAAGATTGCAAAATCATACAAATTTTATAAGATCATGTGCTGTCACTCAAATCTAGTTGACCACTTTATCCAATTATATATGTATTCCTTCAAAACTATTTATTTTTATATTTAATGCTCTAAATTTAAGTTTAGCATATATATATATATATAATTGTAAAACCAAAAAATTACATATGAATATATTATTATGATTGATGTTCATTAATTAACTAATAACATTCAGAATACTTAAATATCTTTTAAACTCATATCAATTAATATGATTTATAGTTAATTGTGGTTAATTTGAGATTTCTATGTGGATGTTAAATGGAAATAGTATGTGTGAAGTCAAAATAGGAAGGCCTGTTTGGGCCAATGACTTGGCCTGAAATCTTATCGTTACCCTAATTCCTTGCGTCGTCCAATTGATGGAATCATTGGCTCGATTCCCTGCAATTTTTGTCCGTACCCAAATTAACGAAGACGCCCCAATCCGGCCCTGGAGGAGTCCGCTTGGAGGCCGACGGATCCCGCGGCGAGATGGCGGCTGCCAGCGGCGACGGGGAAGGCGAAATCCACGTGGTGGAGGTGGCGGAGGAGTCGTCGTCCGCCGACGAGATCTCCCCCCTCCTGGCGGTGGAGGGTGCCAATAACAAGCCCCCCAGAATGACCATCTTCTCCGTCTCCTGTCCCCGCAGGAAACCCCCCAAGGTTCGATCCTTTAACCACCTCTTCTAACTCCCCCTCTCTTCTTCTCTTCATTAGGTATTGGATCGTTTGGTTTGAGGTGTAGACGATGGTACATGACGATGGCAACTCTTGATACTGTATCCAGTGAGCTGAGAACTGGGAATCGATTGATCTGGTGCTCTGCCATCACAGAAGTACAAACATCTATCCACGATCTTGATTCGAAGCGATAAAAAATTGCAGGAACCGACATGTAGCGTGACAGATCCAGAGATTACTTTTCTTAATCAGATCGTTTCGTGGATATGGAGTGGGTCTAGACACTCTGGACTGCTATGCGTGGCGTCATCTTCAATTATCTATTTCGTAATGGATGTTTTGCTAGGCATTTTCCCAGGTTAGGTGGCTTCTTTCAACTCATATATGGTAGGCGTATTTAGAAGCTGTGCTTTCAAAGTATTTATCTATATGTGTTTATTCATGTGTCATTTTATTAATGACTAGAGACATCAGTGAACATTTTCAAAGCTATAGCTAGCTCTATGGGGGAATATTACTCTCTTGATCATCTTTCTTCTTTTTTGATTAGCCACTTTCAATAATTATGTAAACACTCATAAACATTGCAAATTTACATTATCCAATATAGTTGGCACCATATATATGAAAACATGACTTTTTTTCCATTCCTTCATGTGAAGCAGTGATGTAGTGATGCGAATGTTTTTCTTTCCAATGTTGCCATTTCTTTTCCCTAACTGAGAATGAAAAACTAGATATGTATAAAGCTAAATATGCAACCAGTGGTAGAAAGAACCTCATTGTTGAATTCCTTTGATACTTTTTGAAGGATAATACTATGCTGTGGATGGTCATCATGAGATGGCATGAGATGCGCCACGGTTGACACACTGGTTCGTTTAGTCCACAATTAATTTGGTTGGATGGCAGCGACTGACTTCTGAGAAGTGTAGGGTGATACATATTTTGATGCTTCAAGTTGTTCTACTATGAGACTAGATTCTCTTTTTCTCATTCAAACTGCTGAAGGTTTTGTCCGCATGCTTTGTTGGTTTGTCTTAGGTAGTTCTTTCTTGACATGAATTTGATGCAACTTATTGACCTTGTTCCGAACCTCAAACGCTAAGTGACTTTTAGGTTGTCTGCTTCCATCTTTTCTTGCATTATACATATATATATATGTAACATTTTCTCAATATGTTTGATTGGAAAATTTTGACCTAGGGACATGCAAAACTACTGCCTTGATGTCAAAAGCATAATTTATTTTTCCATTGCACATGATGATTCATTGTTGCTTAGTTGTTCCCTTTCAATAAATGCTGTTTCAGGTCATATGCTGAGAACTCATCATAGAATATAGACTTTGTTGTAAGTTTCATAGCTAGAAGTGTTCACTTTTGAAGTAGTAGTCATGTGATTTACTATTTTTCTTTGTCTTATGTCATGGACAGTCAGATCAGCTCCAATATATCAGACTGTATTTACAAGATGTACAATACTCTTGATCATGTCACTTATGTGGTTGAAAAGAACTGGGCAACCACTCATACTACCAACACATGCAAGGAATGTACTAGTTCTGAGATCCTTAACTGGGTTTGTTTCATTGCTGAGCTTCATCTATAGGTTAGTGACACTTATATTTCCAGGTTTATACTCCTATGACTTGTCTCATCTGAAATATTACATGGTTAATAAATTTTCTTATGCATTTGTATATTTTCTCTAGTTTGTTTTGAGTTTTTTGGTCATAACTCTCTATCTTTTCTTAATTGTCAGGCTGCATGAATCTGTTGGATCTAGCTTTTCAACTTGCTTATCAATACACTGAACTGCAGTGATATGCAAACCTAGTTAACATTGCAGAATAATTTTTTTTGTATCATAGTTAGTGATTTAAAAAGCACTAGGCGCCAAGGTCCAAAAACACCAGAGGCACTAAAATATAAAAATATATAATATAATTAGTAAATATAATTATTTAAATAAAAATATGATATTAAATTAAGAAAATCTAAAGTACAAAGTCACAATGTCACATTAACAAAAATTCTCAAAATTTAAAACAATAAAATTTTACATCAAAGTCATTTATCATAATCAATATTATTGTTGTTTTCAAACAAATCATCTTCATTGAGTTCGTCCTCTTTTTCTTATCCTTCATCTTCATAAAAATATGTTTCATTCTCTATGTCTTCAACAATAGCAAGAGCCGAGCTTGATGCTATTGCACTCATTTTTCTCTACATCATTTGTCTTATATATGTTTGTAATTCTCCAACACTTGAAGCTCTTGCTATATCTCCCCATGTCAATCTATTATCTTCAAATACAAGCTCGTCTTCAGCATCTTGCAAGTTAGCACTCATTTCTCTCATCAACCACTCATTTGAATCATCAATATTTTGTAATGATATTGGATCAATTTTATTTCGTAAATCATGATGAGCCTTTAAAGCTTGAGTATACTTTATGTAAACAAGATCATGTAATCGTTGATGTTTCAACCTATTTCTTCTCTTTAAGTGAATTTGTTATGTCATATTATTTAAAAATATATTAATATGTCTATCTAAATAAATAAATAAATTAAAACAAAAATATTTAGTGATCCTTACATGGTCAAAGACACTCAAGTTTTGCTCATAACCCAAAGCACTACATGTTAAACAAAGTATTTTGATAGTAGATTGCTACAAGTACGGGGTGGAATTTTCAAATAGACTCTACCATTCAGTTGTAAAATTTATTGTTATTATTAGCAATAACATAGTAACATACTATAAATGAAATTAATTATATCAAATTATTAATACCAGGAGATGTAGTTGTTCTGAATCGAATTGCCATTGGAATTCCAAAAAGACCTTCGATATTTTTAAATAGAGATAATTCACGAATAATCTTATCTTGCATTTGAAGGCTTGGAACTAATCTTGTAACGCACTGATATAACCCATCCAAAACTTCTGCATCAAACCTAACATATTTAATCTTATAAAAGAATTCTGGGTTTAAATAATATCCTGTTGTATGTAAGGGACGATGAAGTTGGCAATTTTATTTTTCGTTAATGATTGTAAAAAATTTATCATATTTTTTTTCTTTTTCATTAAACGACCTTTTAATCATTTCCTTTGCTCTATCCATAGCCTCATAAATATATTCTATTATAGGCTTATTTTTATTATCCACCAATCGAAGGATTCGAACAAGAGAGCTCATTACCTTTAATATATAAACTACATGATTCCAAAAGGATGACATTAAGATGATATCAGTGGCCCTCTTGCCTTTTGCTTCTTTTGCCTATTTACTTATCACCCATTTCTCAAAGGTAAACGTGTTTCTCAAGTTGTGTTTTTGACGATGCACGCTCTGTAATGTCAAGAATGAAGTAGCAAATCGGGTGACATCGTATCTCATCAATTCTTTGTTGTTTGTGAATTCTCTCATCATATTCAAAGCCCCAGCATGATTATAGAGAAATCCTACAACAAAGATTGTCATTTCTAAGTTTTCTTGATATTAGGGATCTTTTCAATATCCTCCAACATTAAATCAATACAATATGCCATACATGGAGTCTAATATAGGTGTTGTCTTTTTGTTTCAAGTAATTTACCTGAGACAAAGGAGAATAAAAATGATAAGACTTAAGAGTTTAACACATTTAATTGAAGATAAAGTAATTAAAAAAATAAAAAAGATGAATACTAGCAGCTAATACATAGTTGCTTCCATTAACAATTATGACTTGAACGACATTTTGTTCTCTAATTTTTTTCACGAACTTGTCAAGCAAATCATATATCTTGTCTCCAGATTTCACAAAAGATGAAGCATCTATTGACTTCACAAACATGATATCTAAAGAATAGTTAACCATAAAAGTAATTATACTCCTGCATCTCCTGTTGGTCCAAGCATCTGACATAATAGAGTAACTATGTGTTGCCCATGATTCTTTATGATCCTTTAGTAAGTCATTTGTATAATTCAATTCTCTTTTCAATAATGGAACTCGCATCTCATAATAACTTGGAGGTTTTAATCCCACACCATATCTTCCAATAGCTTCAATCATCTCATTAAAAGTGTCTAAATGAGTTGTACTAAGGGGAAGACCAGTCTGATAGAAGAAGCGAGCAATGTGCTGAATTGTTCTTCCTCTTATTTCTTTATCACAAGCATCACTTATATTTGTTTGTCTTAATTTTGAGCCTCCTACTTGCCCTTGTTGTTTCTATGATCCTTAAAACATATATAGATCCATCGGTCTTTTTTTTTACGTTTCATAGTACTCATAACTTCTTTTCCTTTTTTGTAATGAACTTTTTTCCCACATGGGTTGACACTCGTAGAATAATCTTCTTCTTCATCCCTGATATGTTAACATTATCCTCTGGTAAATTCTCATAAGATTCATTCTTTTGTATTTTTTTATTTATTTATATAAGTCAACAACTTTTCTTTTACCTCAGGTGGACACTTCTTGCAAGCTGCAGCATTCTTGAAATTTCTTATTAGATGTTTTGCACGAAAAATGTCACATCTACTAGTTTTATCACAGAAGATGTAAGTCACTACATTAGGATCTTTAGAATCCTTTAGATAATTATACTTCCAAGGAGGATCTCTTTTTGATGCCATTAGAGAATCTATTTAGTTGCTCTGTACACTTGTCATTTATTTGGAAACCCTAACAATAATTTCAAATAAATAAAAATTAGCAGTATTAAAATCAAAATAATATGTTATTAATCTAATAAATAAAAAATATTGTTACCAGTATACTGTTAATATACTGTTAACAATATACTAAGTCGAGTTGATGTGAGAAGAGTGTGAGAAGAGGAAGACCGAGGCTGTTGACTGAGAGCAGCACGAGCAGCGACAACGACGGCAGCGGCGAGCAGTGACAGTGGCAGCGATAGCGGAGAGCAGTGACAGCGGAGAGAGGCAGCGACAATAAAGAGGAAATGTCGATGGCGGAATCGCGAGCAAGGTTAGGGTTGGTGAAGTCGCGAGGGAGGCTGATATCAGTGCTTTAATTGGTTCGATTGAACCAACTAACTCAAATGAGATCGAACCAGACCTAAAATGCTAGTTCGATCGCTTGATTTAACTCGGGCGCTCGCCCGAAGCGCTCGATGCCTGGGCTTGGGTGAGCGCCCAGGCGGCGCCTCTTTGAAGTGCGCCTCTTGGACATTAAACGAGGTGCTCGGGCCTCGCCTTGCCTCACCCGAGCGCCTTTTGAAATCACTGATCATATAGTATAGCCTTTTTTTAATTTTCTTTTACAACTTTTCTCGTCCCTGCTATCTTAAAGCTGCACTAGGTTTTTCTTCTAGCAACACTTCTTAGTCATTAAACTTGATATCATGGTTTTTTTTCTTTTTTCATTAGTACATGGAGATATTTAATTTCTAGCTAGATAATATGATTGTCAGAGAACATTTTCTTTCTTTATTGCTGGAAGCTGTTTAACAATATCTAAAAGTTCCATTTTCTTGATTAAGCGATTCGTGCTCTAGTATTCAGCATCCTTGCATATTTTGTGGTGTCAACTAGTTTGATGAAGGAACTATTGACGACTTAGCATCAAACCATTCTCTAGTACACCCTACAATTTCACCTTTGTGGCTATGTCTTCAATTTTGTCAGTAATTTTTTTACCATAAATCAAGAACAGATCCTGTTGTATGAGTCCTCTTTTGTAAATTCTGATCTTCCATTATTAGACACAATGTGTTTCAACAGAGAAAGCTTCACTTCTGTATACTGTCATGTTTGTTGGCATGGGCAATAAATTGGTGCAGGACTAGATAATAATGTAGTTGGAACATCTTGTAGAGACTATTTTTGCTACCATAAGGGTAATAAATGCTTCAAAAATTTTGTTGGATTTTGCGAATCATACGAGAAGCTTAATTGTTGTTGATTTTTGTGAATATCCTTGATAGACATCTACTCTAAAGGCAAATCAATTGGTAAATCTACAGTATCCTGAGTTCTTGACAAACACAAAACAAGTATGCTGTATGCTTGACTTTAGAATCATTTTGAGGAGATTTTGTCCATTCAGATCCTCTAGGACATCTCAATGGTCTAAAGAGAGCTTAGTGAATATGGGGAGGCTGTACAAATATTTGCAACCATTACAGATTGCTTGATGATATAAACTGTTCATGCTAAATAATTCTTAAAAGATAATATGGCAAAATGGTCATCATGGGATCTTCATGACCGATGTGGACTAAAATTTTGTTTAGAGATAAATTCCAAGTGTTCAAATATTGGTTGGAGGTGGTGTCCACTCATTTATTATTTTCTTTTAGTGCTACTAAGTGATGCTGGTGCGGATGTAGGTACCATACCAGTCCCACAAGATGTCAAAGAAAATGTTCAACTGAGTTAAACCTTGATACTGTATCCAATTAAAAAAAAAGCAAAATAAGCAGTCTGAATCTGCAAGCAATCTAGTCACTCTGTTGTAAAAATACCTATTCTTTAGCTAGTCAAGTATGCTGCTTTTTAAGATTCATCAGTGGCTTCTACTAAGTTGCTAGTTAATATAGAAATTGACTTGAATGGCAAGTGCTATGTCAGTACTGTTGAGATCTTTTGTCAATTTTTGCAAATTTATTTTTCCTCTTGTTGTTGACTTCATTTTTCTGTTTTCTTATGGTGTTTATCAATTTATACTAACTGAACGCTTGGTCCATAAGTTTTTGGTGTATTGACAAGTTCCTTCGATTTTTGTAAGCATATACAGTCATAATCAGTATAACTATGAAATCTCTTATTTGCTAAAATTTGGTTTGCTGCTTCTGTTCAAGTTATTTTACTGCTAGCTTTTTAGGGCCTTCTAAGATAAGTGGATGACTTTTAATGTGTTACAAATTCATAAAGTTACACTGCTACTGTACCTCCTAGTAGCATGTTGACTATTGTTCTTAGCCTTTGGGATTTTATGGACTATGGTGTGCACCTTTTGTTACATATTATATTTTTGTATTTCTTCCAGAAGTATTTTGAGGCAATCAGTACTCATATAAAGAAGCCCTGTTCCTTTTGGACTTGAAGCTCCTGGTGATAGATAAATGACCAAATTCAGCCTTTTCTTCTCTTTCAGTGTCCAAAATCTACCTGTATCCTATGCAGTTTTACTGAACTTTGCAACCCCAATAATGGCATCAATTGGAGCAATGATCATTTTACAGGAGAAGTTATCTCTTTCACATATTGGAGGTACAATTGGAAACAATGTCACTTCTGTTCATATATGCTCTTTTGTTTCTTAGGACATGGATAAAGTAGTTTCTGTGCTTCTGGGACTTACGGGGGTTGTTTGGTTGTTAGCCATATTCTCTAAATCATTTGTTGCAAATTGTCTTTTCCAGAGAACTTATGTATTACACAGTAAAGCATAACCTAAAAAATGATTTATGGGTCATGTTCTGGTTTTGCAAGCCAAGAGCAATAGAAGCAGGTTTGAATGAATTGAATCATATAATTACTTCATGAACATTAAACTGATCATAGCAATGCTGTCTTGATAAATCTGCTGAAATAAAGAACAACTTTCACATTAGTTGATGAGTTGGAATTAGTTCACTAAGATGTTTTCAAAAGACCCTTTAGTTAAACTTTTCTTTGTTTGTGCTTCATGCTGTGTGCTATGTTTTCTGATAACGTCACCTAACTATGTTCAATTTTTTTGCTGAAATCTCTATAGGTATATATCAAACTATTACTCTAAGAATAGTCGAGTCTTTTGTCCATCCTTTGGTGATTGCCAAGTGGTCAAGGAATAAGTAGGGCCATTAAATTAGTGGATTGGCAGTGTGCAAAATTTTCCTTTATTTCCCTCCCCTTCTTTTTTCTCTTCCCCACTTGTTTTTACGTTGCCCATTCAATTTTCTTACTCTAGGAAAAGCCCCTGAAACCAATCTAGCTATTCACTCTTTCCTAAGGAATATATTCAATCTTGCAGATTGTGGACAGTATAGATATTTATTGTTTGATTCTCTGGTCTTTCACTTTTCTTTAACAATATGCACTCTCTGTTGCATTACTTTAACTAAAGCTGAAAGTTGATCTAAGGCCTCATTACCAGTTATTTTTCTTTTAAAATCAGCATGCATTTTATGATTTATTTCTTTCTTGTATATGTTAAATACCTGTTCTTGATACTATAGAATGGATTGATGATTGCGATGCTAGCCAGTGCCTAGGAAGTGTAAAGGTCAAGGTATGCTGTATTGTTAGTTTAAAAACCGGAATGGTCATCAACCCAGCTGAGCTTGTGGTCATTGAGTCACTGGTTGGACCACAGTGGGTCATACTCTTACCACATTCCAAAACTTGGCACAGAACTGCTTCCTCTCTCTCTCTCAACAAAAAAAAGGGGGGTTTTCTTGTTTGATCTGGAGCGTTTCATTTTTCTTACTAATCTTGCTTCCATTAACTTGTTACCATGTCAGAATTCTGTTATTTTGACTCTTATACATTGAAGTTTTAGCATCTTCGGCAAAATTCTGTTATTTTGACTCTTAAAAAATAATGGGAAGTTGTTTTTGTCTGTTTGTACATCAGGTTTAACTTGCAGTTTTATTGGTCTCCTGTTGATTCTGCAACCTATTCTTCTTTCAAAAGGTATTATTTTTTATCGGATATTGTTGTATTCTTATGTGAGTGATATTCTTTACATTGCAAAATACTTGCTAATGAAGTATTAATGTTTGTATATCTTTCTCATAACTTTCTTTTTTTGACCTTTTCTCTTCGTTACTTATATAGTTTATCTCATTTTAGTGGTTCCTGTTATAATATGATCTCTTCTAGGGTATAGATTGTGTAAGAATGAGATTGCTTCTAGGGTATTTACTATTTATTCTATGTGAGAAGAATTATCTAAGGCAAGTGTATGTGGTTGAATGCTATTGATAGCTAACGAGTTGGTTAAAGGCAGAAAGAAAGTGAGATTAGATTTATTATATTCTTGCTGTCCTCAAATATTTCTTCGGTTTAATAGAGGATCTGATTGTTGCTCATCAATGAGAGATATTGGATCAAGTTTAATTTGTGCCATAGCAATTCTAGTTATGGATTCATATGTGAACCCTGGAACAACACTTGAATTGTGGTTGTCATGCCTTTTTATCTTGACCTGACAAGAGGCCTACCATTATCCTCTAAAACTGTTACATGAAGTTTAGTTTAAGTGACCTATCTGTAGATTTCCACACTAAGCTGATCCACATTGTGATTAGTATGTTCTTGCAAACCATCTGCCCTACAAATTGAGTTTACCAAGAACATTTATGCTTAGACTTGAAAGTAATATCAAAACCAAACCTCTTTTAGTATTTTGGTTGTTCTTGTTAGTTGTTACATCATGTTTCTTCCATTAATTGGAAACCATCTTCATTTGCTACCGACCTACCTTAGTTTGGGCAATTAGTCCATTCTATTCAGCTATTGTTCTATGTTTATACATCTACCATCTGGATAAAATAATATTTTTAATGCTTTGCTTTTATTACATCATACTGTAACTACGCCTAGTAGAAAAGAAGGATTGCCTTTATTTTTCTTCTGCAAATTTTGATGTTTAACATATGCAGGGAGTTTGACTGAGACTTTTCAGATGGACACTGTTGTCACTGATAGAGGAAAGGATGTTATTTTCTCTATTTTTGTTGGTATATTTTCAACAATTCTGGGTGGAGTTAGCTACTGTCTCATACGTGCTGGTGCCATGGCATCTGATCAACCTGTGTATGTATTCGGCCTGATAATATTTAGAGTTTCAAGTGCTCATTAATCTTTATGTTTAATGCATTTTTTATTTTTATTTTTATATCTGAAGCATTAATCAACTACAATATTTGAGTGTCGCTTAGTGCACATATTTGCATGAAAGAATTTGCTGTCTTGTGAATGAATGTTAACTTCTTGCAAGGACCTTCAATGAAGGAAAGAAATGATTCAATATATTAAATCAGATACACAAGTGGTTTTATGCAGCCTATGTGTTTTTGGTAATGTTGCAAGCAAAATAATGAGCAAAAGAGAAAACATGCAAGTAGAAAAAGAAAATAATGCTAGTCAATGTTAATTTCCTGACCTAGACACTTGTTTATAATTAAATACAAGTGTTGGAACTTGGAAAATAGCAGGTAGAATCAAGGATTGTTGTGCCGATCAACAGTGATTGAAGTATACCATGCTAAAATCTAGAAATACATCAATACATGCCATAGGTTGAGTCTCTGACATATGGCCAGGCCAATTTTTGTCCTGTGTACTTAACAAAATTGTATTATGCTAGAAAGTTACAATTTCTCCCATGTTACAGTATGATAATCCTTTGGTTTAACTACAACAAAGTAAGAAACTTGCATTAGTTATGTTCTGTAAATTGCTAACCTGATAGTAATCCATTTCATAGACACCTTAAGAGAGTTTCATAGCTGAAGTCAAATAATTCTAATTTGTAAACTATTCACAATCTGATCTTACAAAGATTATCCATACCGCATTGATATGGAAGCATCAAGGGAAAAAAATCTGTATTTGTTCATGATCCTTTATGGAAAATCTAATAAAAAGAACTTGTTTGTTACTTTCAGTTGTTCGCTGACAATGTCACAACATGGTCTGATGGGATAATCTGAATCGCTGACCCAAAACGGTTATGCCCAAGTTAACAGTATTATTACCTATCAAACTCTTTATGAGTCAAATCAAATATTTACTCACAACCAATGTGGAACTAAACTGGGGTATTATAGACAATGCTCCATGAATAAACAGGTTTTAAATGCGAACTAATTTAACAAGCTTTCCTAAGTTTTTTTTTTCCTTTTTAAAGGAATCTCTTGAATAAAACATCATGCTATGAATTTTAGCCCTATAATCAGTTAACTAATTAGAGATGTTCTGGTTTTCCCTGTACTTGTGCTTCCTTTGGTTTCATCCTCATTGCTACTAGTAAACAGCCATGTGATATGTTGATCCTATGTGATGGGATTCAGATATACTTCCTCTTGTAAATCTCCATACCAGTGGGCACCAATTATCTAAATTATAGGTGCCAAAGTTGGTAGGACAAGTGAAAATAACTTTGTGTGAATACTAAATACCCAAAAGTAAATACTCTTCTATTCTCTGCAATATTAGAGGATTTTGTTGTCATGGTTATGAATCCATGTTCATATTTCGTAAATTAAAATTTTACATCCTCTACATGGTTCTATTTCTTTGCCAGAAGATTAGTTTTTTGCGAAAATGTTTTCATATCCAAATTTTTTGCTCTTTGTGGGCCATATGATTGATCTGAATGTACACTATCACATCATTTTGATGCTTGATGCAACATAGAAAAACTTTTACATGTTAAAGCAATGATGCATTTGTGACCCAGAAATTTGTTCATATTGATTTAATGTTGATGCAACATTTTTTCACTAAATTAATATTATGCAAAATTTTGTTGCATTTCATGACCTTAAATATAATAATGTGTGGCAAATGTTATGTCTAACTGTATCTTGCCACCTTGAGGAAAAGCCCCTAACTGTTTACATCAAGCACTGCTGCCCACAAGAATGTGAAGAAAGGGAAATGAAAACAAGCTTACTAACATATATAATTTAGAAATATGGTGTCACTTGCATGAGGACTGCACATATTACCTTGAGCAACCATTCCTTGTAACTTTTGTGATGTGGTTGGGTCTCAAAGTGTGAGACTGGGTCTGGTCTAACTCAAAAGACCTTTTCAAATGTCACTTAGAGATGGTCTGATGGTTTTAGATAATGTATGCTTTGCATAATAATCCTAGTCCTGTGTCCCACCACTAAATACTGCCAGATATAGGCTGTACATAATGGCATTCAAATCTTTGATTTTATTTATTTTGTCCTTTTTGCATTCCCAATCAACTAGGTATTAGTTACCTTCTTAACACTGTCATTGTGATGTTTAATCTATTCATTGTTACTGTTACATTGGGCCATAGATCGTGAAACTTAACCCAAATGAAAATTAGTTACAATGTTAGTGCATTTGAATGAAATGATCATTCTTGATAAAATTCATCACACTTGTCACAGGTATACAGTTTTTTCATTTGCGATACTTGCTTGTCCTCTCTCAGCCATATGCATTTTGATATTTCAGGTATAGACAGCAAATATTTTCTGCTTTTAGAATACTAGTCATTGTACTATATTTTAATTAAAAACACCTGGTGTTTGGTTTCCACGTTTGAGCAATATAGTTAACTAGTACTTTGTTGAGAGTTATGAAGTAATGATGCACAATAAATGATTTTCAATTGGTGTTGATGTTTTGGTGTTCTATATAATAGGTCAGCTGCATGACTTTCGCTTCATTCTTTGTGATCTGTTTACTTTGTTTTTTGGTTATACATTTAAGCTAATCATTTTTGAGTTAAAAGTTTGAATATTTCAGGATTTATCCTAGCCCTGAAATAAACTGGTTATCTTGCAACGTCTGAATTATCTGCCTACCGTGTCCTTACTGCACAGGAGTGCTTTTCTCCCCATACACATAACTCGGAACTTCATTCTGTTGATTCATGAGTTTTAATAGATGCTACCTAATTCTGAAAGCTCAGCTTGGCTGATTGTGACTGGCTTTAGGTAAGTGGTTGGTGAATAGGCATAGCAAAGGGCAGACCACCAGTTGATTATCATTAGTTAACTTAATACTTCAACAAGCTTTTGATTCTTCCATTTTTATTTGCAGAATTTTTTAAATTATTTAATAACTTGCTGATGAAAAGTCCTTTCAAAATATTTAACGATTTATAATGAACATGTAAGCAAAAGAATAATCAGCAACGAAATGGATTACATTCTCAACATGTAATTTTTGTGTTAGATAAAATTAGATCAAAGGGGAGTGCTGAACTTCATTGTGGTCCATAATGATGGAATTGTGGTGGAGTTCTAGTCTTGATGAAGGAGCTTCAGGGTTCACTCAAAACTAATTTTTAATATCTTCTTCCATTTAAGCACTAGATACAAGGAGATTATTGTGCTCCATGCACACACAGGCAGTCAAGCACATACAGGTTGATAATTTCTGTACATATTTACATGTGATAGTCAACATAAAGCATGTCTCACTGTCTTGAGGCATGTTCATCATCCTGCCGGTAAACCTGGTGCACAGAGAATCATTCTCAGAAAACTTTGCACAACTTTTTATCTTCTGCTGTGCTAGAATGCCACTGTACAACCAGGTTGTGAAATCTAATCTATTTTTGCTGATATACTATTTAATGAGTTAGTAAGGTGCACAGAGAGTCATTCTCAGAAAACTTTGTACAACTTTTATCTTCTGCTGTGCTAGACTACCACTGTACAACCAGGTGGAGAAATCTAAGCTATTTTTGCTGATATACTATTTAATGAGTTAGTAAGGTGCACAGAGAATCATTCTCAGAAAACTTTGCACGACTTTTTATCTTCTGCTGTGCTAGACTGCCATTGTACAACCAGGTGGAGAAATCTAAGCTATTTTTGCTGATATACTATTTAATGAGTTAGTATCTTTCTAGTTAGTTTTTTTTCTTATATATTCACTTCAGTGCTTCCTATAAGCATGTTCTACCTACCTGATTAGCAGGCTTGTTAACCCAACATATTAGTTACTAAGTGTACTTTCTTTCTAATTATACTCCAATCACAGGAATTTGTTCTTCCTAATCTTTTCACTTTTCTTCTGATGATGGTGCTAGGTGTATTAGCATTCTACGCTGAGGTATGAGCTATGATTTCTGGGTCAAGTTCTGTTTCTCATGCATTTTGAGATTTTTTTTTCTTCTTTCTTTTTGGAAGTTCAGATACATCCTTGAATTGATCTCCATATAAGCAACAGCAAAAGCAGATACAGTCTGATAGTATTCAATATTTCACAGATCCTTTTGGCACGTGGACTTCAGCTCGAGAGGATTGCCAAAGTCACAAACATTCAGTACATAAAGGTTATCATCTGCTGCACTTTGTAGTTATTGGAGAAGAATTTTGACTTTTGATATATGGTCATATCTGGATGATGCGTAGTCTTGTATATATATACACATAAGTTAACTCACACTCCAAATGAAACTTGATTCCAATTTAGTATGCACAATAAATAGTGGTAGTAAGCTGGCATTTAGATGTATGATTTTTTCTACCACATTAGACAATGACAAGACAAAGCCAGTAATATCTTATTCGCTTATTAATAAACTACTTACATTGTTCGTTTTGGTTAGGACTCATACAATTGGCTCAATTTATGACTTGTAATTGATTAATATCTCAGTTTATTATACTGTTTCGGAAGTTGTATTGACTTTGTAAAGTTGTAAGTTATCAGAGGTCAACAACACTTTCTTTGTTTCCCTTAGCCTGTCTCTTTGAACCGTTATATAAGTATCTATCAGTTAAGAAACTTAGGAAGGATGATCACACATCTGCAGCAAGTTGGCCTCTCTTTTTTCTTTTTAACGCTTCCTCTTCAACCATAAGGTTGTTTTTCTTCCAGAAGCAAAGATGCAAAAAAATATGGTATGCTATATGGAAATCTTGAAACATGTGTTGACCTTTCGGTCCTCTAGTTTCCTAGTCCCTTCCAACAACTGGAACACTGATCTACATCTCCATCTACTCTGTTTACATTAAGTTGGATCACACAACACTTCCTACCACTTACATTGCTTTGATCTATTTTCGGTGAGCCTCCCCTGCTAGTATTGGAACCAGGGGTGAAGTGAATATTTAGGTTTAGGAGGCACAACACTAAACTGATGTCCTGTTAAAAAAGAAGTAATTCAGAAGTTTCAGTCTATGTTGGACGAAGCTTCTTACTAATTAGAGAATGGTGGTGATTGAAACAATAATCACTTGATGTCAAGAGTTGGTGACTAATTTCTTATCTCAACTATTGAGCAGTAATCCTGCTCATGATTCATGATACAGTGGTATAAATGCCAACTGGCCAACAGTAATTTGTGCCAAACTTAAAGGAAGTTGAATGTTTTGATTTGCTTTTTTTTTAATTGATGTATCTAATAAAAATTACAATTTCTCAAGTTTTATTCTCCTTGAAATGAGTTTTGAGTATCTCAATTTCAGGTGCTCTTATGGCAGCTGTGGAGCATGACCTTCTTGGGTGCTGCTCCATCATCTTATAAACTCATTGGATGTTTGCTCATTTTAGCATCGGTCTGCGGCACTGCTTATATGGGACCCGAGAAAGAAAACGAATGATTGAGGCTGCGTCAATTTAGAAGTTCAGTCGAATCTCTGTAATCAACCATTCTTCTCATACTGAAGCCTTCAAATATATATGCTGGTCTAAGATGTGTTTGATGCATCATCTTATAGGAATGCTTAGCAAGGCACAAGATGCAGTGTTTATATATATATATATATATATATATATATAT